TATTTCACCTACTATTTTCTTCAAAATTTTACCTCTTCTACTACCAAATAAAAACTATTAAAAAAAAGAAAACAAAATCAAAACGATCCCCTTCCAATTTTATTCAAAGAAGATTGCGTATCTTCCTAATTATCTACCCCCCCCCAGAGTCGTCACAAATTCTTCTAATTGCGATAGAAATTTGGTCAAAAAATTTTTTTTTAGGAAGAAATATGGAAATCCGGGTTAATAAAAATGTCATTTTGGCCTCCCCTATTTATTCTTATAATTTTTTCTTTATAATACATAACAAAAGTCAGTATTAGTTTTATAATATTTTCCCAAATAGGTAATATCTTAGTTTTAGAATTTTACCTCTCTACTTCTTTGTAGAAGAGTTACTTTATTTATTATATGAAAATAGTAAATACTTTGATTTGATAAATGAGACAAAATTTTATAAAATAGCATCCTTTATTTATAAAAAATATATTAATTTTATACAAAAATAAACGATCTTTTTTCTAATTGTTTCAAAATGATTATTTATAAATTAAAAATGTTAATATCCTAAAAATTTTAATGAAGGAGAAATTTTAAAATTGCGGGAGATTTTCAATTATGGAGTTTTTCGGGAGGAAAATCTCTACGTCGTGACTAGAAACTTGCTAGAGTCCCGTTGATGGGAGGAGGAGCTAGCAACCCTGTGCCTCCCCGAATTCAATTGCAGTCTTGCATCATACCCCTTCCGTGGTAGAAGTTCTTGAATTATACTATAATATAGGTTCCAATTATTATTGCACAAATATTTATGACTATTAATTATAGTTTACAACTTTTTATTATATAAATCGGAAATAAATTTAAATTTTGATTTTTTTAAAATCAACTTATAGAATTTCATATCATTTGGTGTTAATTGAATAAGCGAAATGCGACATTTGATCATATTAATAAATACTATTGGATTTCATTATTAGTTCCGAGTCTTATTTTCAATAAAAAAAAACTAATTCCTTACTAATAATTAGAGCATAGACCTAGTCCAGGAATCAAACTGATAAATTTAGGGGCTCAAGTTTGATTTCTCAAAAAGATACTCCGCTTTTATTTCCATAGGGACTATAGTCTCAACATTTTTAAGAATCCTCTGAAATTTTTAAAAATTACCTTTAAGAAAAGTGGTCATTTTGAAAATATTTCCTAAAAAAAATGGTAATTTTAAAAGCCCGAGCCTCCTTAGAAGGTTGTTAAAAATATATGGAAACGTTTTACAACAACCATATAATTACTGTATATTGTAGTATATAATTGAGATCACCAAGAGAATAATAGCAAATTTAGTGATAAAAATATAAATTTATTCCATATTTAATTGTGAATAAATTAAGTGTAAATCTAAATATTCTTATATATACCAAACCCCCCTAAAAAGGGGTGATCTCTTTGGCAAATTTTTCAGGGGGATGTTATCATGGGGCACTTAGCCCCACCCCCTATATCCATTATTTCCGCACTTCCCTCGGCTGGTATTTTTATTAAAGGTTTTTTATTTCTTAAACGATGGTCATATTATCAAAAATAACCTAACCCCTTCCCCAAGGAACAAAAATTGCGCCCCCCCCCCCTCCTTAAGTATCTTTCACTTACCCGATATAGCAGTTATTATATTTGTAAAAGAGAAATGAATAGCATTTGGACATATGAAATCACAAAATATAAAATAGGATATATTTAGAATAGTGTCTAACAAATAGTGAAAATGACTTAAAAATAATAACAAAACTCCTAGTGCAAAAGCGTAAATACTTAATATGAGTCTATGAGATTCGTCAGTCCTATATATATGCCCATGCAGTGGTATAGGTAAGAATACGGGGTTTGGAGGGTAAACCCCTCACCCCTCCATGGGAAATATGATTAGGTAAATAAAATTTTGCTTTCATAATACTTTTATATTGATATCTAGACAAAAATTTGTTTTTATTTCTTTCAAATTAATAAAACTCCACCTAAATCTTCTAATTCTATAAAATTATATAGGAAATGTCTTCTTCTATTTAAGTAAGTGCGCGAAATAATCTTGAAATTTACAAATTAACAAACAATATTAAAGACACAAAATAATTAAAAAACGGGGCGCTTCTTAAAGACGCTATAATTCATATGGGATCGAAGTTTGACCTTTTCTATTTTCATTAGTATAAATATTACTTTACTAAATAATCTCTCAATTTTAGCACTTGAGTGTAAAAAATTAGCTATTATAACCGTTTTTAATTTTACCGTAACCAATTCATCTTATTTTGGTATCACAATCTCCAAAGAGGCCACAAGTCTATGACTACTTTTAATGTCATCGCTACTAAATATAAAAGTATCTTTCCAAGTGGATTGAAGATTAAACAAAAATGTATATTCTTTAAGTATTACATATTGGCCTAAGCTTTAGAATTAGTACTTTCAAAAGTTTGGCAAACTTCATGCTTAGAAGGCATCTTACAATCAGATTCATATCAAATCTTAGAAAATATAAATCGATTTATAATTTAATGAGATTCAAATTATTTTACTTCTATATCTATTAAATACTCAAAAGAATAAACGACATCTATAAAGATCATGGATTCAAAAATATTTTGAATTGGGGAAAAATCTTAATGTAAATCTTTTGAATCATAATTTTAAATACGATATATGAGACTCAGCCAAGGCATGCCATAGTTTTTATTTGACTTATAACTTGATTTATTTATTGATTAGATAAACTGATTGATGAATTTGAAACTACTAATCATGTCTTTCATCATTGCTTCTATAATCTTCTTTCTAACATATAATGTCAATCTTGGGAATATTTTTTTATTTTGTCAATAATGTCTTTCTTTAAACTATCTACCAAACGGGTTAATAAGTATGAAATACGTACTAATTATTGACATAAATATCAAAGAGAAAGCTTCCATATCTTTGGCTGACTTTACGCTTAAGGCGTGATATCATAATTTTATTTGATTCATAATTCGGTTACCTTTTTTTTGGCTTACGAAATTGTTTAAAAAATTAATAAATAAGGCGCTAAATATTGATGCAAACCAGAAACCAGAGAGTTATAATTTATATATTCTTTTTTCTGGTATGATATTAATGACAACTTTTTATTTTTTTTTACCAATAAACTTTTTCTCCTTTACACCATCTACCATACAGAATAAAACAATAAAATGTTCTAATAAAGTCCCACTTAATGGTTTGGCCTAAGTTTCAGAATTTTTCAAAAGCTTGGCTAACTTCACGCTTAAAGCGCGACTAGTAGCTTTCATTTTGACACAGTTTCTTTTTGTAGTTCTCATATTTTATTGAGGAATTAAAAGTACTAGTTAGGCACTCGCATGCCAGATATAGTTTTTTAAAATTTTCTATTTTAATTAAATTAATACACAATTGAGCAATTGATAAAATTTTTAGAAAAATGCCTTAGTTGCTATCGTAAAATTTTGTTACTAATAATTTTTTCTTTTATGTTAGCTACTATCTGGTTAAAGGTAGCCACTAATAGAGCACAAAACATTGACATATTTTAGAATTAATGCCTCTAATTATTCAGCCACACTTAATGGAGATGATATAAAAATAACCACTTGAAATCATTAATATATAATAACTTTTTATAAGAGATCAGTAAGAGATTTGGGGACAAACCTGAAAAAATTACTACCCCCCCCCCCCCTTTTTGATAAATCTTGCATACCTTATTCTTTGTCTATGAACATAGTTCTACATCATTATTTTTCCAAGTAAATTGTGAAAAAAAAATTATAAAAAATAGCCTGAGGGTAAATATCGGAGAAGTTAAATTGGATGCATTTTTATTGATGATCTTTGAAGAAGAATTGTTGTGAAATTTTAACTAAAAGAAATTAACTTGTTTATTTAGACCCAAGTTAATGCGAGATTCCAATTTGAATGCTTTTTAAATCGTAAATCCTGTCAAATGACCTTAATCATACTAATTGAAATATTTCGAGGTAATTAATATTTGTTTTAGGAATTCATTTCCTATATCTATTTAAAGATATTTTTATAATACAATTATCATTTTTTGTTGCAAAATAATAAATTATTCTTAATTTTGTTCATTAATTGGTATTGCATTTATTTATATTAATATTTTGCATATTTAAATTTAATACTATATTTATATTTATAAAAATTTGAAATATAAATATTATTTTAAAAAAAATAAAATTAACCTATTTTTTAAAAAAATGTAGGTTTTGAAACATCTCTCCCGCTGTAAATGACTAATTAATTGTTAGCAACCATAAATGAATATTTAAGGTTATTTGGAAGAAAAAAAAAATCATGGCTATTTTTTTAACAAAGACATTCACTATAAAATAAAGATTAATGAGTTAATTTAATTAACGATTAATAAATCGAAGTTTACAATATAAATGTTATTTTAGGATTTTCGTGATAAGTTATAATTTAATAAATTTAAAAAAAAATTTTTCATAAAGGAGCAAATTTAAAAATTTATTAATGGACACTCTTTTATTTCATTAAAAAAAAATATTTAAAAGGAAGTCCTTTAAAAAAAAATTCAAACGTCTAGAGCAAGTCTTTGACAGGCAGCAGAATCAAATTCTTAGACGTAAAATCTGAATATCTTTGCGCGCAAAAAAAAACAGCCTGTAATTAAATGAATATATTTTTTTAAAAAATAATCTTTTTTATTGCATCAAAAATTGTTTTAATCATTTTTTTATTTATTATAATAATCTTTCTTAATAAAAAAAAATACGTTAATTCATCTCATCCTCATATTATCATAACATCATCAACATTAGATAATTTAGAATTAGATAGCTCAATTTTTAAATGCTTTTAAATAAATAATAAATATTTTTCCCAAAAGTTATATTTTTTTAAAATTTTTAAAAAATATAAAATATAATTAATTTGAGCTCAAAAAATCATCAGACATACTATTTATATCAAATAATCAACAAATCTATGAAAATATACAAAGTAAAAAAAAATTTATACATATTTTAATTAATAATTTTAAAGGATACAGAATATAAATACTTATTCCTATCCACCCCTCCATTATATTTTTTTTCCCTTGTAGATCATTAAAGAGCGCAATAATTTTTTCTAGAATAGACTGGACCCCTTAGTTTTTTGTATGTATGTGAGTTTATTAAAAAATTATATATATAACTGTTATCACGTCGTAAAGGTGATAGAAATTGCACGATGTAAAAATAAATAAATATATATCCATTGACACACCTACAAAAGTATGTATCATGTTTGAATTAATATTATATGATAAGGCAGGGCGGGCCGACGCTGCTTTGGGCTCTTAAAATTCGTTCTCATACAGGGTTGCCAAGTCTCCCATCAGCGGGAGACTCCCGCCATTTTTTAGTTTACACGCACATATCTCTCTCCCGCAAAGCCTTCGCCTTTGTAAATCTCTTACTATTTTAAAATTTCTTCCGCATTAATTTTTTTTAGCATTTTAACGTTTTTAATTTATAAATAATAATTTTGAGAAACAGTATTTGATTATTTTTAAAATAAATTTTAAAACTTTTTTTCAAAAAACATGTGTAGCTTGTCGATTTCCTTCTTTCTAATATGTTATCATAATAACCATGTGTTTGTGTTACTTAATTTTAGGAATTAGGATGGGAACATTTTATATGGACTGAACTATATTTCCTTGAGATTACATCTCTTAATTAAATTATCATTATGTTCATTTAAATACATAACATAATTATAAATTATATCGGACTTCTACAAGATAATTATTTTATTTATTATAGTTCACTTTGAGTAATAGCAATTTGTTATCATTATACCAGTTTTAAATCATAGCATTATAGCTCCTCAATATTTTCGAATTATGAAGACACAATCAATAATACTTCATAGTACAGGTTAATAAATAACACGAAAGTATAGGTAGAGTCCCCTCGGACCCCTATTTAGATATGCTATATCTTAGAATTAAATTTATTTGTAGCTTTCATATGTTAAACATATATTAAATGTGCACTAATAAAGTGACTTTATGACAGCTTTTATCAAGTGCAAATGTGAATAATCTTTGTTAAAGATTCATAAAATTATGTTATAGCTATGCTAATCTTTACATTTAAAAATAAATAATAAATTCATTTTGAATTGTTTAAATGTTGCCCTAATTAATAGCTTTTTAAATGTAGTAGATATTATTTTTGCGAAACTTTTTTTAGAGTGTTAGCAATCAAAATTTGATTTTAATAATTCTCTTTACAAAACAAAACCATCTATTGATGGATTTTGCAATTTGATAAATATTACCGATAGATATTGATATCATGTTTGAGAAGATTGTTATGCTCTCTAAAGATTCACCAGAATGCTCCAAAATAAAAAATCTATAAGCATTGGAAATATTATTTTTTCATATTAACTAAATCCTCACGCTTGCATATGCGAGTATCTATTACCTATTTTGAAAAATATTACAAAACGTTACTTGACTTTACTAATATATATATAAAGTAATTATAAGAATTAATGGGAGGTGGGATTACATTTCACAAACCACGGGCCGCATAAAAAAAAATTTCCTGCAATTTTCATATTTTTCCCTCAAAATAAAAATTTTTTACTAAGTATCTCCCGCAATTTAAAATATTTTGACTTGGCATCTGTTCCTAGATAAATTGGCCCCTGCCGTATTTTTAACGATTATTCGGTTACAAAATATTAACGTTTCAGGTTAGATTCAGTAAAATCTGAAAAATGGCGGTTAATATTTGTTTATCGATTTAACCAGTTCGCTTTTGATTTCCGGGTTTGTATTTTTTTTTCATTTATTTTTTCAAAAGAAAAACGAAAGCGATCTCGTCTCTCTATGCAGACGCGTAGCCAGGAATATTATACAAGGTAAGGGGGGGGGGATAATTTCTTTATTAAAATATTTTGGAAAATTAAGAATTTATTAGAACCAATCAATATAAAATTTATTATAACCAACCATATTTTAAAAAATTTTCAATTTCGAACACAATAAAATATTGAAAATGCAAAATTTTTAGGTTTTTGCTTCGTAATGAAGAAAAGATTTTTATCTGTGCTTCAACAATTGGTATTGTTGCTAAAATATACAGTAATATTAATATAAAAAACTCCAAAATATTTTTTAACGTTTAGGATTATCTACTAAAATTAATCTTTCCTTCAGATATATATCAGAAACCTGCAAAAGTATATTTTCAGGCCCGGCCTTCTTCAAAAAATTTTTTTGTCAGATTAAAATATACCTATTCGGTATTTTACGCGTTTTTCAGTGAATATGAAATCCATATAAAATCAAATTATCTTAACTCCCCATTTGTAGTAAAAAAAAGTGAGTTTGAATCCCCACACTTTTAATTCTACTTGTCAATGGTAATCCCTTATTTCCTGTTCCTCTTGTAATTTAATATACTTCTTTTATATAAGTATCAGTCATTTTGCGCTCTCCCTGGCAACATAAGTAATTGCTTGAATTTGGAACATAAAAAAGAAAGATAAAATAATACTTATCTGAAAAAAATTTTACCCTTAAAAAGTATAATATATTTTAAATATTGAGTGTATCTTTGTTGCTTTTAATTTGATTGAATATTGAATGATTAGTTGAGAGAAATTTTTTAAGGACCGAAAAAATGGAAATAGGTAATATGATAAGTGAATTAATGTGATTTTTAAATATATTTTATTTATTTTTAATTTTTATATATAATATTGGTGATTTAATATATTCAGCCGGCCTTGGCTTTAAATTTTTTTATAGGTCCAGGCCCGGGCTAGATATATTTTTTAAAACGGCCTAGCTTATGTATCAGGGCAGGGCCAGACTAGGACCGGTGTATGTTTTGAATAAAATTTATCTAATATTTAATTTTTTCAATATAAAGATTTAATATAACCTCGGAATTTATAGGTATAATAGTATTTGTAAATTAGATAGAGCCATTTGATAAATTGTATTCTAAAGTGGAATAATATCAGTTATTTTATTAATCCTCTATTTGATTCTACATTAATATTGATATCCTTTGTTTAGTGTTGTTAAACTGCTCGATTTGAGCCGATTTTTAAAAACGGCTAACTCAAAATTTAATCCAGAAAAATATTACTCAAGCCTGAAGATTTTGCTTATAGATGGCACAAAGGTCTAGACATCTATTAACGAAATCTAAAGCCTTAGGCAATATTTTTTTGGCTAAAATATTGAGTTAGCCGTTTTTAAAAATAGGCTCAAAATGAGCCGTTTAACAACACTACCTTTGTTCGTCTATGTGCAAGTCTAGGCTTGCGAATTTCAAAACCATATAATCGTTTTCGCCTCAACTATCACATAAATCTCTAAAATGGTCTATTATCTCTTTTCTTTTTTCAGGTGGTAACATAATAATATTCACGATTCTCATAACTTAAGCTAATATTTTTGAAAAATATGCATAAAATTGTGGTGCAATTAATTTATTAATATATTCCAATGCAACAAAATTGGCTATCATATTGAATCCATTAATAAATTTGCTTAAGATGAAATAACTAATTCAAGCCATTCCAATATTTCGGATATTCAAAATAGGTTTTTCTAGACCAAAAATGTTGTATGATGTGGGAGGCTTCATCCTATCTTCGGATATCTCAAAATTTTATACACTCTAGAAATGTGGCCTAATCATAATTATTTAGAAATAAATTAATTTTTTTTTGGTTGATAAAATTAGCTTGTATCTATCATTGTTTAAGGTTTTAAAAAATGATGAAAATATACTTAAAATTTTCGTGGGATAAAATATTAATACACAGGAAAAAAATATTTATAAATTTGAACTTTTTGCTAAAATTTAAAATACAATATACTTATTTTAGTATATACTTTGTAATTCATTATTCATGAAAACCTTCTATATTTTTTTCAAAAACTTCTACGGGGGGGGGGGAGGTGATCCCCCCACGACTACCTGTCTGTTCGTATGCACTCTCATCATGTATTACTGATTTCTTTACATAAATATATTTTCTATGAAATGAAAATGAAAGGATGAGTTAGCCTTATTTATAGTAAGCGTGCAACATCATGATATGGCGTCACGTTTATACATACTATTAAATTGAGCTAGACCGTTAGCCAATAACTATTCAACTTTTAAAATCATCATCGTGGAAAGGTTAAAAAAAAATAACAGAGTCAATAATCATCACGGCTCCAGGCGGAACTCCAATGAGACACAACAGGTCGATAGCGCGATTCCCGTCGAAACCAGTTTTTTGAAACTGTCCTTTTGGGGTAGGTTAGAAATGGTCAGGGTTAAGGTTAAAATATTTTCCAGATAAAGGAGGAAAGAGACATGTTAAAAATATAATTTTTAAATTAGGTCACTGTTTGGTAAATTGCTATCATGGTGAAACCTAACCATATTATTTATATTATCTAAATTTTGTCAATTATACATTTTGATCAATAGTTAGGTCACACATAAGACATATAGTCAATAAAATAATTTACCTCGCCAATTTATTCTAAAGTTATTATGGGCTTAATGAATAGAGTGTTTAAATTTCTATTTCCAAATTTATGCTATCCCGGTTTTTGAATTTTGATTGCGATTTCCCTATCTTATTATTTAAATTCTCTTTTATCACACTTTTAAGATTTTAAAATTTGTGGTCCCTTGCTCGAGAAACATGTAAAATATTGACATTTAAAACTTAAAAATCCCTTTCTTTTTATCAGAGACCTGCAAAAATACTATTTGCACTGCCGCCCGTACATTTTTTAAAAAATTTTTGACCCGGCATAGTCCGGTTTTATATTTTCAGGCCCGGTCCGGATTTTTTTTAAAAAAATTTCAGGCCCGGTTTGCTCTTTATGTTGTGCTGTGTGAACATTATTAAAATTTATTTTAGGTAAAATGCATAACCATTATTCTTTATTTGAAAGGTAATCTATTATACTGGTATTCTTGATTTTTCAAAACATTACTTTGCATTATGCTCAATGAGATTTCCGTAGAGCTTAGTAATAGAAAGCTTAATAGATTTTTTGGAATAGATATTTTAATTGTATAATTCAATGATAATATGATTATTACTTTTTTAATTTTTATAAATATGAATAATAAAAAAAATTATCGCTAAAAATTAGGCATATCCCCTCTTAAATTCATTGTTATCATTTTGATCTCCTTAAATTTAATAATTTATTCGATTTCTGATTTGACTTTTGACAATTTGTAAT